CGTTAGTAACCTTTATTATGTTCAATTAAGAATGGCCATGGCAGTTCAGAAAGCTTTCCACTAACAACCGTGAGCGTGACAGGCCTGGGATGGAAACTGGCCCATTTCTCCACGGCCGCAGAGATTTTCCGCTGGAAACCGGATCCCTGCGGAGTGCTAGGGCCAGCGGAAAGTCGAGGGCTGCCCTCAGCATCAGGTTACACCGAGGAGAAGTGAGCAACAGCTTCAACGGGGCTACCTGGGTCCATCCTGCTCCGCGCACCCCAGAGACACGGAGCCGGCACCCGTTCGCTTTCTTTTCAGATTCAGAAAGAATTATTTACATATATACAAAAATATACTATTGTCATATTTTTCATGAAAGAAGACAAAGCTTCTTCCTGCGACAGAGCAACGCCCCTTGATGGCTTCTCATTGACCTTTGACCCGCGAGAGAGGCCCGTGCCCAGGACAGGAGCGAAAACCTCTTCCGCCCCTCGAGCCCCCAATCCCTCCTCCGTCCAGTCCTCCCATCCTCCCGCGTGCTCCTCCATTCTCCCTCAGCCCGGCCAGGAAAAAGCCACTTCATCACCCGCAGGCAGGGCCGGCTTCCCAGTCAGCGTGCGCCGCGCCGACAAGGCTGTCAGGAATTACCTGTCACGAACAGTTCTTTCCGGACCCTATGCGGACGACACAATCCGAAGAAGTGGGGAAACACTAGGAAAAAGTCATGCAGGAATACGGGGGGCGTGTCCAAAGTGCGCTGGTGCACGGGGGAGGTGTGGCCGAGGCAAACAATCCAAAAGTAATCCATAGAGGGAATCCAAAAACCCAAGAAAGTCCATAGCCAGGTGATCCATCCAAACAAGGAATTAAAAACACGAACCGGGTCGGAACCGGCGGAAAAGGAACAGGAACAGGAACAGGAACAGGAACAGGAACAGGAACAGAGGTTAAAACCTTAACGGGACCAGGAGCTTCCAGGTCCCAGACTCGCACGGCGCGGAAACAAGATGCAGAGTCAGGATGAGCGTCAGCGCCTGGCTTTTAAGGTGGGCTGGGAAAAGGGGTCAGGTGCACAGAATTAAGTCTGAAGTGAAAGGGCTCGAGCACCCTTAAGGAGGAAGGACTATAATCGTGACATTACCCCTGTGAGCGATCCAGGGGAGGGGAGCCCCCCGGGCCCACACGCCCAGAAGGGCCCTCGCCCCGCACGTAGCAGCCCTTGGAAAAAAATGTCCGAAACTCTCCCCAGAACCTTGTGAACATTTCCTTGCCCGGCCTTCTTGCTAAAAATAAAAGAAACCTTCTGTAAGAAACGCATATGGAGACACACGGAATCCCGAACCCTGACTGCAACCCTTTGCTGTACGGTTAGCCCAAGAAGAGAAGCCTTTTCTGCCACCGCTCTGCAAGTTTCTTATGTGTTTTGTAACATGCAGACAAGAAACTAATTCATAGACCCGTCCTGCTTGCTGAGCACTCAGTGACTTTTTTGTTGTTGCATCTACAGTATAAAGACAGCAGACTGAAATGTACAGAAATACTGCCCTTATTTTTAGCCATTTCTCAATCATATGCAATATATAATACCAATGTAGACCAAGGATTCTTGGAATTCATTAAGTTCACTGAGTAAGGTCTCAGTTAGGACACAGGCAGCGTTTGTGAAGTTCTAGAAACACACTTTACATGGAAAATCCCCTGTGTCAGGTCACAATCAGAATACTGGGTTTTTCTTCAGAGACAAGGAGAGCTGCATCCAAAAAATGTTACAATGCATTTCGATTCCAGCTGGATAATCACTGGATAATCTCCGTTATTCCGCTCGTTAAGTTCTACAATGGGTCTCTTTCAAATCTCACGGTACTCTTTAACGACCCCTGGCTCCAGTGTGCCCCGATGACAATCTGGGCACTGCTGTGAGAGCCCCTCGATATCCGCCTCTCCTTCCCTGTCACCTCGAGACAGCCGCGGCTGGCTCAGCGCTTTCTGGTAATATATGTTTTAAGGATTAAAATGCCATTGCACTTCTGCTCTGAGAAAAATGAATCGGAGTGCTCTTGATTGACTAAAAGTTGCGCTGATGATGCAACTACATGCGCTGTATTTAGAAGCAGCACCACCAAGGACTAGACTGCAATTGGGTGTCACACAACTCTAAAGGACTTGTGAAGCAAAGTGTACTTTACATTTGTGAGCTGACAATGATATACTGTATGTTTCTTCCTAAACTCTTAGACTGACAGTATTAGCACTGTGCTGTTAGCCAGCGTAAAGAGACTCAGGTTTCTAGGACAAAAGAACAAACTATTCTGAAGCTCCTGTACATTTGGATTGGCATCATCCTGAGTTCTGTGTGGGAACCAGCTTTTAACAACGTCAAAGAAGACGTCCTGAACAAGGAGTGTATTAAACACCTACACTGGAAAAAAATACAGCCTACAGTACACATTCTGATCTGCACTGAGACTGTTTTTTATCTGCACTCTCAGTGTGACAAGGTTGATGCTTTAAAAACCAAAGAAGGACCTCCCTCCTCCTGCTGTCAGTGGAATCAGATGTCTGTGTACACCGCAAAGGACTGTGACTCTCAGGCAGTGTGAACCAGCCCGGGCTGGGGTTCGATCCCACCCCGGGAGCCTGGAAACAGGCCACTGGCCACCCTCTCCAACTCACCAGCTGCTGCACTGGAGAGAGGCTCTGGTGCTTCTCTCTGAACAGCCACTGTGGCTACGGGGCAATAACTGAGCTACAAGCATGTGGCTGACCTTAAACTTAAACTTGGCCTTTGACTTAAGAAGCACTTGACCATTGCTGGGTATAAATAGGTCCTGTGCAAGTGAGAGTGATAACATTGCAAACACAAGGAACACAAAGCTATTTTCCAGTTTGGGCACCCTTCATTATTCCTGCACAAAACGTCTAGCTGGTGGGCTTGGATGAGTTATGGGATAAAACATACCGATGATGTGCTAAAGGTTTCAAAATCACAAGAAATGATGGAATGTCTCATGCACTGAAGAAAACGGATTTTGTTTTTTACAAAACAATATGCTGATGTTTGTAAGAGTTATTGTAGAGCATTTTGTCTTTAGCAAAATCCTCTGACAGTGTAGATTAAAATGAAAAAAGACTTGAGTGCTTGATAATGAGATATTTAAAATTAGCAGCAATTCAAGTCTCACGGTTCTTTTTTTTTCTCCCTCACACCTCCTGAAACGCATCACTGCAAAGTGATAATTGGAGTTATTCGGTTTGGGTATAAATAGATCATTGAAAGAAACACTCACCACAAATAAGGGGAAAGTGAACTCAGCCTGAGAGGGGAAATGTCCTGCACTGGTGTCTTCATCTGCAAAACTCAAGGCATTCATGCTGAGAGAGGGGAGCTGTCTGGCCTGGACGACTTGTACTGACCTCAGCACTACAGTGCTTAATGCCTGAGTAGATACATACCGTTACCGTCTTTATAGTATTGCACAAATTAAAATACCATGCACTTTCAGCTTGATCTCTGAAGACTCCCACCACATGAGAACATTCAATTGTAACCAACATATATATGAATATAGCGACGGAAGAAGCAAACATACAGATATATTTACGTTTGTGCCCTCTATTATACTTATACAAGTACATGAAGGTTTGAAGCTATTTCATGACGACCCAAAGCATTAACATAAAATGATGAGCCTTTATTGCAGGCATTTGGTCTTTACAATACAATTTCTCTGAAGATCTACCTTCTTAAATGTGTGCTTCGTTCCTACAATACAAATTCTTAGGTGAACTTCAAAAACAGCTGCTTTAACGTGTTTGTTTGTTTTTTTTGCTTTAACTGTTTTCTAGAAGTCGTTGCATTCGGTTTTTTTTTTTGCTCTCTGGAGATGCCTGCTGATAAGCAAGGGGATAAAGAGAAGATTATTCTACAGTGTGATGCAATACCGTGTGTTCCGTACCGGGGTTTGACGCTGCGCCAGGAGCTCGTTTGCTGACACATCTCGGGGCTGCGGACCCTGAGCCCTCTTCCGTAGCCACGAGGCGAGCGGAAAGGGAAAGTTACGACATCGCCACCTAGTGGCGGAATCAGCGGGGCGCAGCGGCAGGGGGAGACGCGGCTCTTGGGGAGGAAAATCACTTCTACGGCCCATCTAGCTAGATATTCTGAAAACAACACCGACAAGAACGCGAATAACGACACTAAAACGCATCTTAAACCGCGTTTGCACTCCCAGGGTAGCCCCAGTCGCGAAGACCACGTTCCCCGTGATAATGATGCTCGCCCGTACGGTGCACAGCAATGCCAAGAGCCGCTCGTCTGTCATTCGTTCGAATAATGGAAATCCTAGTAATAACAAGGCAAAAGACTGTGATTTTAACATCTAAGGAACAAGGAGCGCTTACTGACTAACAAGCCTCTGCTGAAGTATAAACTTTAGCCTATGGTTGTATCCGATGCGTCCCCCAGCCTATACGAGTAACCAGTTCTCTGGGGTTTCTTTTTGCTCCGTACAACAAAGGCGAATGTAACCCGGTGTGTTGGTGCTGTTACTCCGGGGCTGTCAATATGTTAAGCGTTAGGTGCAAGCATAAGCACGGCCACACTGAACAGGTCAACAGCAGGTGAGCTCGGCGCTTGTAACTCTAGGGGGGTTACCCCGAAACGTGTCATTACAGCAGCCCCTAAAAAGTCCCGCTCTCCTAGTGACGGGGCTGGCCGCGCAGCGTCAGGGCAGGTGAGCGCAGTCCAGCCGCAGTCCCTTCTCAATCCCGAGGGATCGGGGCAGCGCCTCGCAATTTTAAAGAAACCCTGAACCGACTGCCGCCTTAAAATACCGCCCCCCACACACACACCGCTCTGTATTTCACTCCGAAAAACGCTTTTATCTTCGTGCCTGCTCCCCCGAAATCCTTCCTGATCCCCTTTTGTCTTACTGTATCGCCGGGGAGGCTCAGTTTAATTCAAAGCAGCATCAGTAGTAATAGCAACGCTACGAGAAAATATTGAATCGCCTTACCTCCTCCACCGTCAGCGGCATGCAGATCCTGTACTCCTTCAGCAGCATATTCCTGCGATGTGTTTGTTTCCAACAGTTTATAATGCAAGGAAGTTTCAGCCAATATAAGTGTCTATCGATAAGTTCCGATGACCCCCTTCCCTCCCCCGAGTAAAAACGAAGGGTTCAGTCACCCCGGGCTCTTAGCCATGAAAAAAACACAGTTTATACGAGGTGGGTGCCGGAATCTGGAGAAAAATAAAAGACAGAAACGAAAACAGTCCCCCGGTACAGCTACCGCCTGTGTTAAGTTCGGGTCTTGCGATTTTCCTCGCAGAAGCACTGATTGCAAATGTGAAACAACTTCAGCCGCGGTCTCGGGCAGCTGTGGAGGAAAACGAGATCTCTTCTCCTGTCAGGCGGAGAAGAGCAAGGCAGTCACGGCCAGGAAGCAAAATTAAACAGCAGCTGAGATACAAGCCGTCTGCAGGACACATCGAAGCGTCTCTCGATGTCAGAACCACCCCTGAGAAACGGCGAGGCGAGAAGTAGCTTCCCCTTCTTCTCTCTCACTTTTTTTTTTAAAAGACGGCTTCCGTAACGATCAACTCCAAATTGCCGAGAACACACTCTTCGTTTCCTCTTTAAAAAAAAGAAACGGCACGAACTGACAGTGGCCTCTCACAGGGATCGCGGTCTGGGTAATCCGAGAAATGTGCAAAGAGACAGGTTCGTACTTACAGTTCGTGCCTCCTGGTCTGTGACCGTGCAAGCCCTGAGTTTTTACATCATCAGTAGGAAGGAATATTGTGTGTGTGTGTTTTGCCCAATAGCGCTTTCCCCCTCGGATAATGCGGAGAATTCAGGCGAATACCCTGTCACTCGTGTCGGGACATGATGTTCCGTATCCAGCTGTTTCAGCATTCGCGCCGACACCATGAGACACACCGCGCAGGCAGGACACACTTTGTATCTGACTCCATTAATAACACACTGCTCTTCTCCACTCTGGGCGAGAACAGAGCCAACTTGTTTTATACCTCGAGCTGTAGCTGTGATACTTTAAAGGGCGGTAGTACTTCGGCTTGCGGTACACTGGACCAGTCCCATGCATGGTTTGAAAAAAAAAAAACAAACTAAAAGAGCTTTCCTGTCCTGTACTTCCTGTACTACTACTGTCCCAGAATGAGACGGGATACGGAGTCAGAACAAGCAAAGCCCAACAGCAAATCAATCAGCTTTACCTACTGAGAGAACAAAATTGCTGTACTGCTGCAATCCACCAGCTATTGTAGCTGAAGCTACCTTTTATATTCTGTCACCAGCTACAACAGGAGCTGGAATCTGAGTAAGAATTCACGAGTATAAATAGTATAGTTTAGTAATTAATCTACAAACAGGACACGTGTGGTCTGCCAACACCAAGTGGTTCACACTGCCGTATGAAACTCTGTGCTGTTACTGAAGATGCGATTTAAGACCTGGTCAGATTTGATCAATAAGTGGGGCACTTTGGGTCAAGGAGGGTACCAGGGCTGGTCCCATCTAATTAGGCCACTGGACTCAAAGGTGTTGGTCGGGGTCAGGGTGTGTTAATTTCCGATGAAGTGGGCCTATTTCAGACCGGAGCCGTTCAGACTGGAGTTGGTCTGTTCTCAATTGTCTTGTTTACTTTTTTCAACTTATCTTTCAAAAGCAATTAAAACAACGGAAACTGTTAATGAAGAAGCCGGCCGTTGCTGTGTAGCTCAATACATCTGTTTAATTAAGTGATGATAACTCTTACGTGAAATTCTGTTCAGATTTTAGAGCAGACTCACACAAACCTGGATATGAATTTAATAGCTTTTGTAGAAATGATACATTTATGCACAATTACACATGGAAGCATGGCATGTTTGTACAAACGGGGTTAAAAACCTATATTCTCACACTAGAAAAGTATTTAGAAAAATCACTCATTTAGTTCACTTTTAATAACGTCTGCTTCAGAAGGTTATTTAAGCGAAATGTAAAACGTATCTGACGTAATCACGTGGTGTTGTTTCTCGAGAACAACAAGTTTACTATTTTCAGTGCCTTATCAATTTTATTACAAAAGACCTTTTACTTTCACGTTTTCGTGTAACGAAACACTTTCAACTACACGTTTAATTACAAACATAATAAGCGCATCACTTTTGCTGACCAAGTTATTGCCTGTCTGTTTTACTTTGGGTCCTCAATGGGTCCTTCGGATCTTTAGGCGCTGCTTTACCGGCGGTTTCCCATTGGTCGGATTTTTCTCAGCTTCCGGTTAGTCAGACACAACACTGGGAGCGCAAGCGGAGAGCTACTCTGGGCAGTTGACGTTTTCCTTTCAAATTTCTCAGTTGGTTCCTGTCAAGAATCTCGCCCAAAATGACCGATTCATCGGAAAGAGCGGACGGGAAGATCGTGAAAATGGAGGTGGATTACAGTGCCACCGTAGAGGAGCGTGTGCCGGAATGCAAGAAGATGGCCAAAGTGAGTTAACTGAGCCGAGTTAGCTTCAGGGTGCGGGCTGAGTCATGCTGGCGTCCGTAGGCCCCAACAGCCGTAGACAGACAGCGGACCCTCAAGACGGCTCCGTTTCGGGACAAATAGCTTGTTTCCTAACAGAGGGGCATCGCGGAGATTCAGTTAATATCGGGTTGTGGCTGTCCTTAAGGTTTTCAAATGTGGTCGTTCGTTAGAGCAGCTGACCTCGACTATAGCATCATGCTCCTCTCAAGATTCCCGTAGGAGATTCTCTGATCTCCGAGTCTGGTTATTCAGTGATTTGGTCTTGCAAGCACTCTACTTGCCGATCAGCCCAGATTTAGTGTGAGTTATGGGTACGTGCTGTTTCGCAAGCATAAAGCTTGTCACTGAGTAACAGTTTCGCGTCTTAAGTGTTCGTGTCCGAAGACCGAGGAAGAGTGAGATGACTTTTTTTCCTGCAGCTGTATTTGCTTTATGTTTTGTTTCTGAAATGAATCGTGACTCTACTTTTCTGTTCCAGGAGGGAAGACTCCAGGAGGCGATTGAAAGCCTGTTGTCTTTGGAAAAGCAAACTAGGACAGTAAGTTAATGTTTTCTCCCCAAAGCCTTATTGCACTGTAGCTTCTGTTCCTTTCTGCAATTTCCCTCACGGGATCAATAAAGTAACTATCTATCTATAAAGAACAGCGCACACCTGGAAGAGCGAAGGTGTTTTCCTTGTTAAACCGCTCCCACCCCTGTTGTTCTGTCCCGCGACAGGCCTCCGACATGGTGTCGACCTCCCGGATTCTCGTGGCGATCGTGCAGATGTGCTACGAGGCCAAGGACTGGGACGCGCTGAATGAGAACATCATGCTGCTGTCCAAAAGGAGGAGTCAGCTGAAGCAGGTGTGCCTCGCATCGCACCTGGAGCGACAGCGTGCTTGTCCATCGGAGTGCGTTGACTTCATGCTGCTCTTACGGTGTTTACTGTTTAACTGTGGTGGAACCATTAATTCAGAGCGACTTATTGAAATTGTTCAGTTACAATCTCATTCATTGAAGCCTTATATGTCACACGTCACAGACAGCCTTGAAGTGTTTACTGTACTGTAACAACGTATGCTCGAGCTCCAGCAGGTTCTTGCAAAAACGCTGCGTCGGTTGTAAAAACGCAAAGGTTATCCTTGTAGTTGTGTTCGTCCTTTCCACTCCGTGGGTCCGACGGGCCTGAACCAGCGAAGTGAGGAGGATGTCTTCCTTGATGGTTCTGTCTCCCCCCCCCAGGCTGTTGCCAAGATGGTCCAGGAATGCTACAAGTATGTGGACGAAGTGCCAGACCTGACCGTCAAGCTGAGGCTGATCGACACCCTGCGGACTGTCACTGCGGGAAAGGTCTGCTGCCTTATTTTCACCACACAGTTGTGCATTTTCTAATGGAGGTTATTAACTATTCTCTGAAATTTGTTGCATGTAATCATATGATAAGGTACTAAAAGGGATATTCACCTAAAGAGATTACTTTTAAAACACAGAGCTTAAATTTGTTGTCGGGCATTTTCTGTGCTCTGTACTAGGGGTCGGTAATCTGGCAATCTTTTCAAGCAAAAGAGCCAAACTGTTTCACAATTAAGAACCAGTGGTAAAAAAAGAATCAGTATAAAAATGCACATTTGAATGAAAGAAATTATAACGATAATTTACATGATGGTTAATTAATAATAGCATGAATGAAACTCTGTACACAGACTTTGTTTGAATGGGTCTTTTGTTGCTGCATCATTTCTCCTATTTCTTTTAAGTTTGTCATAACTGGTCAAATTCAGCTTTATGCATGCATTCAGGTTGTCTGTTGTCAGTCTTGAGCATAAATTGCCTTTGATGTGATTTTTGTGCAATTTGGATTCTCTCCCCGATATGGATCACAAAACACAATTTTTCGAAATATGCAAGTCTGTCCATCTCTATCTTTGATAAAGACAGTCAGTTTTGACTCAAATCCAAACCCTGCTTGCTGTAAAGTAAGGAATTATATTTTCCTGCCCTTGTAACTTCAGGTTCACTTCATTCAAATGACCAATAACGTCAACAAGATAGTACAATTGAAGCAACCAGTCACTTGTGAGAAAGCCTGTCATGTTTGACACTCTTCGTATCCAAAAATGACTTCATCTCACAATGCAGACTGCAAACCGAGACAAAACCTTGCCGCAAGATAACAAGCGAGCATTGTTGTGCTTGAGTTCGTGAGGGTATTTGTATTCAACCTCCTCAAGCAGTGACTGAAACTAACGGTGATTTAGGGCTTGACCAAGAATCCCGCTGACGATGTGAACAACTAGGCCCGTTACTTTTCCGAGTTCGGTTCCACAAGACTGAGCAGAGAGTGCCTCCTGTTGTGCGGTGCAATGAAAGTTCAAAGGCGAATGGTTCAGCGTTTCTGATAAAAGAGTAAGGAATTCCCTGTATTTGCGGACACTGCTAGGTGCGCCGTTCTCAGACACGGGCACATGATTATACAACTGTATTTTATTCTCTTTCACAAAGTTCATCACGGTTTTAAGGATGTTTAAGACCTTCTGTGATTTATTTTTTCATTGTCAATATTGCAGTCATTTCTTTGTGAATAGCATTTCCACAAATATATCACGATGAATACACGATGGATTAACATCACGTCATGTTAGTGGTTGCGCCCAAAGCAAAGGCAAAACAAGCTGTAATCGTTTTCTGTACCTCTTGCTTGTCAGTATGATGGGCCATTTTCAGAGATTTGTCATGCACTGTTTTTGCTGATGATTGCATGTCTTTAGTTTTCTTTAAGATTTAAGCCGGCATTGTCGTGACATTTAGTAAGTAAGGTCATGACCAATTTTTAGCATGCGTGTCTTCAAATAATTCCCATTGGAGGAAGTCTTCCCCTCACTTAAGCTGCAGTATGAATCCGTGAAAGCTACCTTTTCTGACCATGCCAACGGTGTTGTCCAGTGTTAATTTTTCGCTGCAGCTTCAGGGTATTTTGCGGCAAATGAAAGTGTGAAGATCCAGACCACAGACAAGGAGGGCACAAACGCCCCCTCCTTTTGAACCTTGTGTCAGGTTCCCTCTAGTCTTGGTGCCCCCGCCTTCCTTGCGATTAATCTTTTCCAGGCCTGTACTGGTCCGCTGTACAGTGCTTTTTGTGGGAGGGTATGTGATGAAAAATAACAACTAATCTTGACCCTTCTGTTTTCTGCAGATCTATGTGGAAATCGAGCGTGCCCGACTGACGAAGACACTGGCCAATATTAAGGAGCAGAACGGGGAGGTCAAAGAAGCGGCTGCAATTCTGCAGGAGCTGCAGGTGAGGCATGTGGCTGTGCTCTAAATGTCATGCCGCTGGTCACAGTGCTCTCCCAGCTAGACCTGAAGGGACACTGTCATCTCAGCCCACTTCTCAGTGTGAGCCAGACGCTGTCGGTTTGTTGCACAAAAGCCAAGACCAAGCACGTATGGATTGTTGTTAGACAGCGCATAAGCGTTCAGGGAAGACGGTGGCCCGGCTGCATCTTAGAGAAGCTGCTGCAGAACTAAAACCTTCCTGCCGTGTTTGCCTTAGGTTGAAACATACGGTTCAATGGAGAAGAAGGAAAAGGTCGAGTTCATTTTGGAACAGATGAGGCTCTGCATTGCTGTGAAGGATTACATCCGCACTCAGATCATCAGTAAGAAAATCAACACCAAATTCTTCCAGGAGGACGGAACGGAGGTAAGAGGAGTCATTGCGTTTTCAGTCCTGGGTGTTCGGTGTGAAACCTGTGAAATCTTTTTTGTATATATTTTTTATTGTTCCTTTGAATGCATGAATGGCTAATTTCTGATAGGTTTTTAGGAGTGTGAAAAGTCAGTGATGCAAATGGAGGATCTGTTTGGTGACTCTAACCATTTTTTGACAAAATTCACGCCTACAATTCATTGGTAAAGTGACACCAATAAGCACCACCTGTAGTTTTTTAATTGAAGAGATGAGGGCACTGGGCAATTTAAGAGATCTATTGAGTTTTGTTTGTGAGAGGGATGGCTTCATTTCAGAACCCACGAAGTGGTCATTCCAAAACTTGCATCAGTCTGATGACCAGGATAAAACTGGGTTGGGAGTGGTCATTAAAATTCACATTTCTGGAGAAATGGCTCTTGGTGGTGCAAATAGCCTGTGCCTTTCTGGTGTCGCGCTCAGGGGCTCTGAATTCTTGGATTCTGTTTTGAGGGGTCATAGAGGAGGTCACATAGTACTGATTAAGGGTTTTGAGTCTTTATTCTAAATGGGCAAGGCTGTTGGTTTCAGAAAGCGTCCTTGTGTATGATGTGCTACGGACAGAGGCGCGTGCTAGTGTTATGTCATTGGAATCAGTCCGGAAAGTGCTGGAAAAAACTCTGTGCTATTCGAATTGGTTTAAACGGCACTGAGGCTTTTTTATTCTCTTAAAAGATGTACTGTACTAGGAAAACTGAACCACTTCAACCCACAGTTATTCCTACCTCCACCTAACCATGGTATTCAACACTTATTTCTGTCCCAAGAGCAATTTTCTTTTTCTGACATGAAAAGTTTTCATTTTAATTCTTGCAATATCCATGATCTACTGTAAAGAGTACTTATTACTCCAATTCCTTCTTTTAATTTCTTTATAAGCTTATGATAATTCCCCTTTCTAAAAGCTGCAATATGTTTTTGTATCTTAACATTTTTTTTTTCCTGTTTTAGGAGTTGAAGCTTAAATATTACAATTTAATGATCCAAGTGGACCTGCATGAGGGGTCCTACCTCTCCATCTGCAAACACTATCGTGCCATTTACGACACCCCCTGCATCCTGGAGGACAGCGCCAAGTGGCAGCAGGTGAAGGGCTATGTGTCTGTAGTCTGATCCCGTGTCTGGCTCTACAGAGGCACCTTTTGTTCTCGTTGAGCGGATACCTGGAGCCAGGGGTGGTGGCGTTAGAAGGGCATGGGCACACGGAGGGGTTTCAGTCTGTAGTGGGGGAATTGACACTTGGCGCCCTGGAATACGGAAAATGTTCTCCGCTCGCTGCAGGTGTTGGAGAAGCAGTTTAACTGCCTACTACCCTCCAAGCCTGAAAGCTTTACAATGTGTAGGACCTACTACAGCACAAGTGCAACAGGTTACAAGTTTCCTGCGGCTTATATAGATGTATCTGATTTCTGGCTGACACTGCATTTCTTTAGGTGGTTAAGGGAATAAGGCCCGTATTGTTGTAATCTTTCAGCTTCTCTGATTTGACCTCTGACCTTCTCTGGCCAATGTCTTTGACACCCAGGAATGCACATTTCTGCTATCAGTCTGGCTCCGAGTCCTCCTTCGCTCTTTCTCTGGCCAGCAATGCGTGTGTATGACATAGTGAAATTCCACCTGCGCCACCTCATGGTCTGACGCTGTTTGTTTCTAAATACTCTTTTGGGAGGTAGCTAGTGCTTGGCTGCTGTGCTGTGGTTAAACTTCTGGCACAGGCGCGAGATTCTACTATAAGAGTTTTTCCAGCCCTCCCCTCTTTCATTGACTAAACATGAATCACTGGAGTGTCTGTGTCTTTCCAAACAATGAGAAACGACAAACTTGTTTAAGGAGCTGCAGACGTGTTCATCTTCCCTTTGTGCAATGTATTTTTAGAGAGCCAGACATGAGGGTGTCCAATAAATAAAATATAAGCTTGAGCAACTTCTGTGAACAAGCTGCACTACAGATGTCTGCTGTGTAGCCAACGCAACTCGGTTATGATGAACCCATTTCAAAACCGAAACCACCATTGTGCTGCTGACTTACCCATTAGCCCGCTCAGACAAAATTGAGTATTTTGTTGCCAAACGAGTTAAAAGAGCCAAGTAGCTTCCTGTTCAAAACCTTTCTAGAAGGGCAGAAAGGTTTTACTGATAATGAAACGTTAAGGATTTTCCCATTCTTGTTTAACTTAAATGTCATCTTTTTTTTTTGCACTTTCAGGCTTTGAAAAGTGTAGTTCTGTATGTGATCCTGTCCCCTTATGACAATGAGCAGTCCGATCTGGTCCACAGAATCAACACTGATAAAAAACTGGAAGAAATTCCTAAGTACAAGTAAGTATTTTCTTATCTAGTGCCCTTTTCTCTCTCTACCATTCTACATCTTGTCAAGCCTGGACAATAACAGATCTCCGGAATTCACATACGGTAATATTCTCTGCCCGTACCCAGAATCTCTTATGGTGTTTTTTTTTACTCCCTTTCATAAAACCTTGCAGTGGCTGAGAGTGCTGGGCTGGCTCTTACTCTGAGGCTTTTCTGTTTTGCCACCATACAGCCGTCTTACTTTTTTATAATTTGTATTAGACAGTGATTCCCCCCCCCCATTTTGTTCTCCTGCACATCAGAATTGCCTGCTGCCTGCCAGCTTGGCTGCTCACTGCTGCGACCTTTGAACCTGTGCGACTGGGCAGAGAGGAGAGCTGGGCCTTGCGCCCCTCTTGACACGCTGCAGGCTCCTCCCTGGACAGCTAGCTAGCAGCACTATCCATGAGAATAAAGATACTAGCTTGCATTCACTTCCACTGAATCTCAATGTGCTTCACATTAAAAAAAAAAAATGAGAACGTACTCTGCGGGTCTTGGGCGATGCTGGTGGTGATGAGCCGAGGAAGTGCAGGCAGATCCTCTAGTCGAAGAAAGAAAACCCCACAGCCACAAGACTCCTAAACGCCATCTCTTGCATCCTCCTGCCCCCACGTATACCCCTCTGAGCTCAAAATACTGCCACTGCTTGAATTTTAGGTAGCAGCTGTGTGCAAACGGTGGTTAAAATGATAGCTGCTACCATGTTCCCGTCTCCAAGACTTGTCATGTCATTTTTTTTAATGCCATCTGTTCATGTCATTTGCCGTGTGAGGAAACCGCGCATGGTGCTCGTGTCCATATGGCAATAACCTTGGCTGTCCGGGATTCCGTTAGGGAGCTCCTGAAGCAGTTCACCACACTGGAGCTGATGCGCTGGGCGTCTCTCGTGGAGGATTTCGAGAGTGAACTGAGGCGGGGCTCTCCGGACAGCCCGGCCACAGACGTCTTCGCGTACACGGAGGAGGGCGAGAAGAGGTGGAAGGATCTGAAAAACAGGGTCGTGGAGCACGTGAGTCCTGGTCTGGTCTGTGGAGGAGATGGGGCCTTCTGATATGTTCTGCGCTTCGAGGAGCAAGCTGTATCTTTCACACTGAAAAATCAGAAAGCTTTAAAACGTGCTTCTGTTGTCTGCTGGATCTGAATATCTCCACGTGTCCTTTTTTTTCCCAGAACATAAGGATAATGGCGAAGTACTACACGCGGATCACAATGAAAAGAATGGCTGGGCTGCTTGACCTCTCTGTTGATGTAAGCGCTGTGGTTTCTTATGTAGCATTTGCAGTTCTTGTCACTCATTTACAGGGGATATAATGTGTGGTTGTGAGTATTTGCAATGGTTCTAATCTCATTAATTGTCCTGGGAAATATTTAATATATCAAAGCACGTGACAGCCCTGCCTGAATTACAGCTACAGTACAGCACTAATGACTGGCATTGTTGAATTGGATTGGAGTGTCTGATATGATACGTGTATGTATAATTAGCGTTGGATCCTGAAGTATGACACATTTTAATAGAGCCCACTATCATTACTAAATAAAACTGATAATACAGAATTTTGCAGATCTATTTTATACCTAATTTTGGGTTCTATAGACTATCGCTACTAAATAATGTTAGATTTCCCTGACACGTCATCTCATTCATGTTATTTTTATTTAAATGTCTGATGCACAGGATTAATTATTAATATATATTTTTTTTAAATGGGAGATGAGTAAGCTAAGTTACGATTCACTTCACATTATACCAAGTAAAAACATGGACTTTTAATGCAGCACACAAGTATTTATTTGAATTTTGTTTAAAGTTAAATATAGAAGTGATTTAATAGGTTCAATCTTTAAGCTTTAAGACATTGAGCTTCCTTGGGCTCAAGTTATTTTTAAAAAGTTTCTAGTGAAATGCGACTTAACTAGATATCTGAAGGAAAGACTAAAAAGAGTCTTTCATAGTAGTCAGTTTGACTTGATCAATTTAATTTAATTTAATTTTTTGAAATTTATATTAATCTGATCCTTTTGCTATTACAGTCTGAGCACTAAATAGAATGACTCTGAGACCACTGAACGGTCCACGTGCTCGGTTTATTTGTGGTCTGCAGGCGTGGGCTGTTGTGTTCCGGTGGTTGTCCTGCAGCCGCAGGGAGAGCAGAGAATAAGCTCTGTTTGAGGAGCTGCTACAGAAGCTGTGAGGAACTGAATCTCTGCCTCTTGCAGGAATCCGAGGAGTTCCTGTCCAGCCTCGTTGTGAGCAAGACCATCTATGCAAAAGTCGACAGGCTCGCTGGGATCATCAACTTCCAGAGGCCGAAGGACCCCAACGACATATTGAATGACTGGTCCCACAAACTGAACTCACTCATGTCTCTTGTCAACAAAACCACGCACCTGATAGCCAAAGAGGAAATGATTCACAACCTTCAGTAAAAGGACATTGCGCTTTGTAATGTTGCTGGAAATGGCAAAGAGCTTATGGAGCCTTACGCTGCATTATGTGAATAAGTGCACCATCTGACCCATTTCCTTAGCGGTTATGAGAAAACTTGTTCTAGTTGTCCCGTGTTATTTGTTTATGAATACAGCATTCTTTTTGGGAAAGAAGAGGAAGATGAACCCATTCTACCAGTTTACTGTATTGTCAGTTTCCCCAACAGTGATAGGAAAGATACCCTTGAGCCCTTGCAGCGTTTGGGCTGACCACTCATTGACCATCTGGTTACTTCATACCTCGTGCTTGCATGGTAGCTGGGATGTTGGTTACACAGGGGGTATGCGTTTCCTTTTGTGTTCACACAGGTTTTACATGTAACGTATAATAAGGGATTTAGTTATGGGCAAAATATGCTGTATTAAAATATTGCTACAAACATTGACTTTTTTATGTGTAAAAACTAATACCACCTTAAACTTAAAATAAAAAAAATCATTCACACTTGGCCCACCCATTACGGATTTGATCATTTGTACTGTATAAGGCTGTGTGTTGCTAAGAACCCTTCGGAGGTTAGGAGTGACTTTCAAGAAATCCGGAGGGTTACTCTGTCTCTAAAATTACTGTTCATGTTCCAGGGTGGACTTGATGTGTTATCTTAATATTTCCAGATGACTTAACCTGCTGATAACACTGAATCTCACATTAGCTGCTCTTTGAAAGCCATGTTTTATGCTGGGGTTTTTACCTCGGCTTGCCCTTCTCAGTCTGCCTTTGCATGTCTTAATTATCTTGTAAATTAAAATCTTATTAATTGAAATTAATTATGGAAACTAGGTGGGATGCATGGAAATAGCAGAGTGATGTATTGTGCTGGTGTTGCTGTATTTATGATCACAGCATTGTTTATCGGCGGTGCCAATTGTTTGTGTAGGTTCTAGGTGGGAGAGCGTTGTGGACAGTTGTGAACCTTTTTGATTTTCCCTTTGTTTTTTCACATCCCTAATACTTGAATATTAGCTGAAGGGACCTTGATCTCTTTGCTAACATCCTGTTCAGCAGTGCATTATCAGGCATGACTATAGAGTGCTGGATGAAAACCCTCACTGCACGACAGGTGGTTTAAAATATACTGGTACTTTAGAACAAATGAGAGGAGACCATCTGATGCAAAAGAGCTCATATGGTTGTATTTCTTTATAGCCCGATATACCTGCTGGAAAGGGATTTAGAATAGCCCAGCACCATTTAGACCTAACCAGCATGTCTTTTGGGAGGTAGGAAAATACTGGACCACCCAGTAAATAGCCTATATGAACCTGGGCGAACATGCAAATAGCAAACAGGTGCCTTGGGTTGGAATCAAGCCCAGGGTGCCATGAGCCCATTAGTGCTAAATGACATAGCTCCCCTATAGTGCCCTGCATGACTGTTGCAACCTTCAGGGTACTCCTGTCTCAGCCTATGGGGACACGCCTCTCCTTACACGCTGCAGAGCAGACATGAAGAGACAGGCCAGGAGGTACTGTAGATACAGTGTGAGCATTGCTGTTTTTAAACTGCTTGGGTGCTGCTTGTCCACTGTGCACATGGCCTTCTGTCATGGCTACCTGATTGACCAACCAACTCAAGGATTCAGATTTTCTATTTCTTCTGTGCTCTAGGGGGATTTTTTTTCCGATTCTGATTTTGAAGATGTGATGCAAACTGAGCTGGTTGCACCAGGTGAAGACCCTGCACTGAATCCTTTTCCTTTTTCTTTTCCTTGGGGATATTTTTCAGATTTTAAAAGCGATGACGCCAATCCATAGAATAGGATGTGTTCTTCTACAAGGAAATGTACTGTTGTTCAGCCTATCCCCCGCACTGAGTCACTAGTGGCTACAAATAGCCTCATCACATCACAATAAATAATGTGTCATCAAAACAGGATGAGACCAACAGCTATTCATTTTCATCATTAATTTGGTTGCATGAAAATGAACCTGTTTTACATTTCTTTAATTTTTACACTCAGTTTTGCTTTTCTACTTACCCACGCTGATTAACTGTGAGGGTCACACAGAGACGCAAGGAATCCTGAATTTCTGGAAGTGACCTTGAGGTCTTTCCAAAGCCTTAGTGCTAATCTATTGCACAACAGTTCATTTGGAAAGCTGTGACAGACAAGATGAGTGCTTTTACAATCTGTATGGACTACCTCTGCAGACACTGCAGAGAACCATTTTTGTCTTTTTACTAGACACCCTCCCAGCTTGGAATTGCTGTTTTCCAGAAAGTCAGTCCCCTGGTCCCAGACCTATCCCAGCACAGCACAGGGAATGGTGGGTGCTGCCTAGGGAATCCTAGGGATATGCCCCAGGCTCGAGTCCGAGAGCATTCTGTGCTCCGCTCCAGCACCGTTTTGGGTCATGTCTCTTGTTTCTGGACCTGAGCCGCTTTTCGTAGGAGGTACCACACGGCGGGAGCACGGCACTGTGCTGCTTTGACCTTGGATAAAAGATCCCGAGTCCAGATCGTCCATGTTCTCATTCCCTGGGTGTCTTTGCCTGGTTTAAGGCCTGGGCTCTCGGAGGCTGCATTCGACTCCGCTGGGCAGATAATCAATAAGGGAACAGGGGCGTCATTGGAGAGCCGCAGTTGAGGTACCATCTGCCTCCCACCCTAGGTCCTCCGTGTACAGCTGCGGAGAAGGTCAGCGTAGTCGAGCTGTTCTGGCTGCCAGCTGCACAGACGGGACCTGGGGGAGGACTCAGCTGTGTGGACGGGGGCAATGTGACCTACTGCACCACGGCCCCAGACTCTTCCTGCGGGCCGAGGGAAAATCTCTCTCCAGCGAAGGCTGAGAAACAAGACTGCTCTCCCCTTTTCTGGGCTCACCAGACAAACCTTTGCATTGCATTTTCACTCGAGCACTCAAGAATGTTTTTTTTTAATTGTTTTTCTCATTACAGTGGGCTGATTGTATCTGAATCATTAGCTACAAGTACGGTAACACTGTCCGTAAAGGAGGGATCTTCTGTTGGGAGCCCCAGATCCAGCGGGTTTATGAAACAAATGCATTGTGTTCAACTGATTCAGTGATTCAACGTGATTCAGTTCAGTCATATTTATGACTAAAAAAATCAAAACACTCTTAAACCTTTAAGGACCTGTTCTCTTAACACAACAGGTTACTTGCTTCACTCATCAGGTTTATAAGTATTGACAATCAAACAGGTGACAAAACTACAAAACAACCTGGATTGGAGCTATAAGGTATACCGTAGGTGCCCAGCTCCAGTCCATCAGACTTTCTGGACCAGTGGACCCCATTCCTGTCCTGCTGACTCACTCACACCTGTAGGTTCCTGTTACACAATCAAATTCACTGATTTCATAATAAGGTTAATCTGAATGTTTTGTTCCCACCTCTTAACAGTTGTATTTTGTAAATGAAATAAAAACCCCACATTTGTGATCAGATATACCAATGAAGCAATTTCTTAGATTCATTAAGGGCTTCAATTATCTGATAATATGATGATAATATCTGATGATGGTGGAATTGGGAACAAATGCTCTAGTGTTAAATTGTTCCGGTTATGATCAAGAGCTGCCCAATTAGGTCATTAAGAGAGGAGATGGAACACGTTGTGCACGATCACTGCAAGAACTGCCAAAGGCATTAGTCCAGACAGACAGGCAGTCCTAGTCCTGAAGAAGCAAGTGTCTCTGCAGCTCTGAATGTGCTAATCAGCTCATGATTGGTTTAATTGGACCAATTTAACACTCCCTCCCAGCCCTTTTCAGCTGGTGCTTTGAAGAGACCTAGAAGACCCCCAGATGAGCTGTCAGTCACTTAATCAGTCCTGGCTGTGATAATGCTGGTGTTGCACACGTCCGGAGCATTGCAGGGAGCAGAATTTGGTGAGAAGTGGATAAATTGCACAGAAAACAGGAGAAAGAACCCCAAGAGGTCAGCAGGTCTCACAGCTCAGGGCTTGTATCGAGAAGCCTGTGGGTTTAAATCCCAGGAGAGACACTGCTGTTGTGCTCCACCAGAGACGCTCCGGTGAAATACCCGGCTGGACAAACGGGTGCCGGCGCTTTGGATAACAGCGTCAACGAAACAGAATTAATAAAATACACAATACACAATACTCAATACCCGTCTGTTCTCGCACAAGAACCGTGTTTCTTGTGGTTCCGATTTTCCCATGAAAACGCGCCTAATACTTTCATTTACGTCTTACGCAGTTCATCGGAAATGCAGCGGCCAGACAGCCGCTGTGACCTACTTTGCTTCATTAGGATTTAGAAAAGCAGTACATTTTAATTTTTATGTCCATATGTCTCGGCATTGTAGAGGGGGAAAAAAAAAACACACCAAGGACATGAACTCCGGGTGCAGAGGGGCACGGAAAAGGCACGGTCCTCTAACTTCAGTAACTGTTTGACCGAGTCAAAGAGGATCCCTTCAGTAATATTTCCCCCTACACTCAGCGCCCGTGAATAACGATGCCTCTTTCCACGGCTTCTCCCTAACCTATCGCCTCAGCCCCCTCTGCCCGCACGATTCCCCTCTGTTTAAGGGGTGCAGCACAGCCCAGCTCGGTTCGTCGGGAAGACTGCCGGACCCCGCTAACCCAGGCATGAAGGTAACTGAACTGCACCGCTCCAGGTCCTGAAGCCGGGACGAGGAGGAAGCGGGACTGGCCAGCACGGCCGCGCTTTCCAGGAAGCGAGGAGAGTTCACATCTCCCAGCCCACAATGCTTTGGGGGAGGCTGACAAGTGGAGGCAAGATGGCGTAGAAAGTAGAGCTAGGTAAGTACAGACTTCCCATTTTTCGGCTCCGTGCGTCGCGCCCCCCCGCCGTGAGCCGGCCCGGGGACGCCGCCGCCGTCTGCGGCTCCCGGGGAGGAGAGCAGCGGGCCGGCGAGCCCTGGCCGCCGCCGGGAGGTCGGGCGGTGCGCCGCGTTAGAGAGAAACGGCGAGCCTAAACAGGAGGCCCCTACCGCTACCCTGAGCTCTGGCTGCCCAGAGGCCCCTGGCTCAGCTGACGTGCGGACAGTCCTGTTTACATCAGAAGCACCCCCGGCTCCCCGTGTGCAAACTCGGTCCAAGCACCGCACGCCGGACGTGGGGGGTGAGGCGATGGGGCCGGAGGTCTGGACGGGACGGGACGCCTTGTAATCGCCTCGTTTGGAGCGTTGCAGCGTTACATAAAACGGTTTTGCCAGTTGCATGTATGGGGAGCTATCTCTCTCTCTCTCTATATATATAGACACACACACACACGCACCGAGTGTACTTGTCAGTCATTAGCTTCGCTTCCAAACTTATTTTGCACGGATGTGCTGCAGACGCGGACCCGGAATAAAGTAACCCCAAACGGGGGAGACGGTCCAGTCAGTAAGGAGTGCGTTTCACACCGTGTTGTTGTTGTCTTGTACGACAGGGGTGGTAGTAGTGGTGGTAGGGGGTGAGAGCTAGCTTATGCACGCTCGCAGGGGGGTGGGGGGTATCTATTATTAACTGACCTGGAATCCAAAGATAGGGTGTTTTTCTGACTGTGTGGATGTCCATATCGGGAGCGGTCGGGTTCCACTCCACTATCAGTGATGACATTTCCGAGACAGGTCGGGGTTGTCTTTCCCCTGTTAGTGCGACCGCAGCCCCGGCAGGTACCGGTCACAGGAGCCCCGGTTCGCTGAAACGCCGACCGAGGAGGTCGCGTCGAGATGAAAGACGGCACGTTTCTTCAGCCCGTAGTTTTATTTTATTTTTTAAATTCCTTTGCGCCTCCCGATTGGAAAATGTCCTTCTTCCACTCAGATGTGCTTGCAGCTGGGCGGCTGCGGCTTAGTGCCTAGCTAAACCTGTTACTTGTTCGTGCAAACTGCGCCACGAGTTGCACGGCCAAAAAAAAAAAAAAAAGATACATTTTCGGTGTCTTAGGGAAAGGGTTCTGTAATAATTTCCTGCTGTGGTCTGTAAAGCTGAGATCAGCAGACACGGTGGCTAGTGTGTCAGGCTCCAGAGCTGATAACCGTTCAACAGTGTTGATCTTACACACGAGTTAGGTCTTGAGGTGAGAACAAAAAACCTTTGAACCCCCAGCAGAGTCCACAGAGACCTCATCCTCTTGGTTAAGAACATCAGCCCCCCCCAAAAAAAAATGAACATAGGATTGTTACTGTAAAGATGTGTTCCCATAAAAGTTAAAATAACACCACCTGCTCAATTTCTGGTTCATTACCAAGTGCAATCTGAGGAGCAAACGACCTGTAACCCGCCCAAAGTTGACCAGGTAGTTTTCGGCAGCGCTGTTTCTGACGGGGCACCACAGCTCAGGTGAAACAGCCCTGGGGGACGATTGCTGTTATGCGGCGTTTGCCGATGGGCAGCCTTCACAACCAGATGCCCCTTTCCAGTTCTTCTGCCACGGTTACCACAAGTGGAAGCATCAGCATGCGATTAGATTGGATGCCATCATCGTTCGGTCACCCCTGAGTCACAGTCTGTGTGATACAGCGGGAAGGCCGCAGGGAATCGGCGGGTTCTCCAAAGAAGAAGAAAAAACAGCCCCAGTTAATTTTTTTTTGCCATAGCAACCTTTGCAATAGCAAAGGGTGAGCAAGAAGCCGTAATGTACCGTAGCAAACTTTTTTCAGGCAGATCGGTGCTTTGTTAGACTTTTTTAATATGAGGCTTATCTGCCTGGAGACACCGGGACCAGTTCTCCACTGTGGATGTCCAAGCGTCACTGGTGGATTTGTCTGTTGTTTTTATTAATTTTTAAGGCTGGGTGCTGTGGTTACCCTGTGCTTTTTGATTACATTTCCTGTATCTTCAGAGAAGCACATCTGAGTGAGGGGGACTTTTCATGGAAGACCTCCTGTCCTGCACGAAACCCTGCGGAGACTCTGCAAAGACATTAGCCACTGCAGCAGCCAGTGTCTCTGTGGGCTGGCGTGCTGTCATTCCGTTTTAAGTGGGTGGTGTTTATTTTTGGTGGTGTGCCTTGCTCGAGTGTAGGTCATGGCGAAAGGTGGTGTTGGTTTGCAGAGACACACAGCTGGTGCAGGATGGGCATACAGTACAGCTGGTTTCTTTGCACACTTAGTGGCATTTTATTCTGCCAGCTGTATACATTGAAGTTCGTTGATCGGACCCATCTGCTTTTATACACTCGGTTTTTATCCGGGACTGGTTCCCTGTCGTTGCGCCTGAACTTGAAGAACAGAAATGGTTATAACTGCGGAGGTCACTAATGTTATGTCTGGGGGGTGGGGGATAGAGTTCATTATGTTTGAGCTGTTTATTGGTGTCAGTACCCGTGTTCATGGACCTACTCGTAAAAACAGGATAAAGACTTTTTTTATAAGATACAACTGTGGATTATAAACGCGCTGTAAATGCTGAATGTGACCTCAGGGAGTGTGTTATAGTTCAGGGCCGTTTCTTCCACAGATCTGCTTCTTGATCTGCTGTTTTGAGTTAAATGTGCCTTGAGGGTCGCTCAGTGTGTATCCTCGATCCCTGGATGCCAGGAATTGGGGGGGAAAAGCGCGGCACCAAGAAGGAGCTCGTCACTGGGCGTCGTGTCTCGGGAACCCCAGGATCCCATTCGCCGAGAGACCAGTGTGCTCAAGGATGCTTTTCATTGTGACAGCTCTGCGGGGGTCCTGGGGTCCCGCACTTCTGAGCCCTGGGGGCGACAAGCGATCCTTCCCACCGTCTGACACCCCTTTTTTCCAAATGCTCTGATATGAGATAATTAAAAAGTAATTAATTGACGATTCTGCGAAGTTATATGGTACTTTTCTTCCGAGAAGATCCCCGAGTGCTTTACATATCCCTCCTGTGACTTTAGGGAGGCCGGACCGCTCCAGTCCAGCACGCACTGGGACACTGGGGTTAACAGCCCTACACTTGCAAACAGTGCTGTGGGACCTTAATGACCAAGCAGTCAGGACCTCAGTTTAACGTCTAATCGGAAGGACGGTGCCTTCTGCAGAACAGTGTCCCCCCGT